AGGTGAATCAGATCCTTCACGTCCATCGTTGTATTGTAAGTAGGACGATCATTCACAAGATCCCTGTCTGATCCAAAAAATGTCTGAGACAAATCTATAATATCATCCTCTGAATCCATGCTTATCATTTGTTTTTGGCTTAATTTCTTAGCCTGAGCTCGAGTCACAGAACACGAGGGAAACACATCGGAATTCTCCTCAACTACAACATCATCCTTAGATGAAACAGTGATCGGCTCATTAACCATTTTAGGTTCGGCAACAACTTTTCACCAAGCCAAATCGTTTCCCAACAATAATGATACACCCTTAATTAGCAGAGTAGGTTTTACCCCAACCACAACTGGTCCCGAAACTAGGTCTGATGCTAAATAAATGTTATGAAGAGAAACATTAACAAAGCCACCCTCAATACCCTGAGCAATAACAGACTCATCACTGGCAGAACTCGAATCTAAAGGCAATACACCTTCTAACAACAATGATTGAGTCACCCCAGTATCACGTAATACAGATTGGTATGGGATTGCCAGTGTCATTTGTCACAGACACAGAACTAATAGACACAAAAGGTCTAAATTCCTCCCGATTATATCAGCCTTTATATCAGTGGCCAAATCAACAACATCGGGTGATCTGATGAAACTACGTCCATATGTAGACATAAACGCACTGGGTGTTGCCTCCTTTTCTTTATTTTATTTTTTCAAACACCAACAATCGGACATAATATGACTAGGTTTTTTTTATAAAAATGGCAAACAGGCCTTAATGGTTTTGACGAAGTTTTAGCCCAACTGTATGAAGATTTCGAACTAGAGAAGCTGGATTTTTTAGAAGAATCCTCAACTTCAGTGGATTCAACAAGTACAGGTTTTTGTTGAAATGGTAGGAATTTCTTTTTATGAAAAGTTGTTTTATATGTTAAAGTGTAATCATCTGCAAGAGTGACTGCTTCCTGTAATGTTTCAACTTTCTTTTCATCCAAGTCAGTTTTGAGGTCGTCACGTGCACAACGTTTAAATTTCTTAATTAGACATAACTGTCTTAGTTTGTCAAAACTATCGCCAATATGCATCGAATTGCACCATCGATCAAAATAAGCCTCTTTTTCGTGGGCAAATTCCATATAAGTTTGATTATCTTGTTTGCGATAACCTCTAAACTTTTGGCGATAAGCCTCTGGTACTAACTTGTATGCTTTGAGAATAGCTGCTTTAACCTTATCATAATTCGTACAATCTTCTAAAGAGAGCGCAGCATAAGCTTCTTGTGCTTTACCAGTTAAGACACTTTGTAATAATAATGAACATTTTTCGGTGGGCCATTCCATTGTTTGTGCAACCTTCTCAAAATGTTGGAAATATTTAGCAACTGGATTTTCATTAAATGGTGAAACTTTAACATATCGATTAAGTTCAAAGTTTACATTTTGCTTTGGTCGATCAATGTTGAGTCTTATTACCATTTCTTTCAGCCTAATTTCTTTTTCGGCCTCAGTCCGAGCTCGTTGGTTCTCGGCTTCAGTACGAATTTGTTCGAACTCCATTTGTTTGAGTTTTAGCTGGATCTCTAATTCATCTTTATCACTCAACCCAGATTGGCTAGTAGGGACACTAGAGTATTCCTCAAATGCTTCCTCAGGCAATAAATCATCATCTACTAGTATTTCAATAATATGCATTTTTAGTTCATTTTTTCTCATTGACCTTTGAACTTCTAGTTCTAAAACTTTAGCAATTTCGAGCAATTCATTTTTGTTATATTTTTCTAATTGTTCTAGGGAAGGGGATACAAGAAAAACTTGATAACCCGACATGATCAAATCTTGTTGGCACTGATCAATATAAATTCAATTATGATTTAAATTATAATTTAGACTGAATTTTGTCTCTGACTCAAATCCCGGACGAGCTCCCAATTTATTATATTACGTATTGCGAATTTGAAATAGTCTGAAGCCGATATTTTAGTTAATTTACGCTATTTGCCAACAAGGTTGACACACACCGTCTTCGTTTTTCACACAAGTACGTTTTAATATACATATACAACAGCACAATTTACAACAACAATTATTACGAATATTTACCACCAACAAAATTTTATAAACAATTTCACTAACTTACAAACAACATAGAATCTTCTTTCTAGTTCAGAGGCTTGTTTGTTTGTAATTAACCCCAAGATATACAATGGGCTATCTGTGCTCTGCCAACCACGGGTATCGAAACCCAGATTATAGCGTTGTAAGTCCGCAGACATGCCGCTGTGCCAATGGGGGGCCTTGTTCAGAGTCTCCTTGATATCCAGCGAGTTAATTTGAAGTCGATGTACGCACAACTGCCGAGAAGCTAGCTAACTTTGTCAAACACTGAATTGTTGGACCTTCGATGTAAGATAATATTTTCATAAAACCACTAATGTCCGATGAGAATTCAGTAATGCTTTCGGAAAGATATTAACGTTCGATGAGAATCCTCTGACGTTCGAAATTTATAACTGTTCCTGGTTAAATGTCGTATATTTTCCGGTTGATAAGGGTTAGCAAAATCACGGTTATAACAGGTTCCTAGCAGACCTTATAAGTTCTCTCTTTTTTGGGGGGATGGGCACGTCGACTTTTATAGGCGCTGGAAATTTTTTCGAAAGTTCGGACAACAATACTGAACTGTATTTAACCGGTTACGGAAGTGGATATATTGTCGATTCTTGCGTTCAAGAATATTCTGCAATCTTGGAGAATTGGCGGGAGTTTCGCCATACGTAACTAACACTGTAAGCTAGGTACGTTTTTAAATATAAATTCATTCCAAATAAACGTTGTCGTTAATATAAATATATAACAAATTCATTATACGCAATACATATCTGACATTATAAGCTACGCATATTTTTAAATACACATTTAATATAAACAACGTTCATATTAAAAATAAATACATAACAATAAATTTGTTACAGTATTCTTAGATTTCTCAGCATCACTTGAAACCTTAGATCGGTGATTCAAGAAAGTTAGATACTGGTCACTTTTTCCACAGTTTATTAGTCTTAGATCTTGGAAGTAGGTTTCAGGACAATGATGTTAAAGAATATCGCTTTCTGTGCAGAAAAGTATTCGGTGGCTTCATTCTTTCAGATCATATTCTGACTTTCTCCTGTTCTCGAACATTTTTGATCACTGTTTCAATTGTATTGTTGAAAAAATTCGGTCCATTTTTCATAATTGCCCTTGAAGCTTTTACACTGCCAGCGGCTGGCTTCGGTTGCTCTACCTGTATTGCTATTTTCAGCATTAACTTAGATAAAAGGCAGATAACGTTGATAAATAAAAAATCAGAAGTTGTTATAAGAACTGATTAACATCTTTATTTTAAAACTGTGTTTTCTCGTAGTTGTAAAACCAGATAAAGCCCTTGCGGCGGCGGACACTGCTAACTGCATTACATCCGGTGCACCAAAATGATTGGGACTGACACTCCATTCCCCAGTGTGCGGCACTACTGTTTATTACATATGCGGCCGTACCTTTGTTAGGTACAAGATCTCTAATAACATACGCGTCGTACAAAAACGTATAAACAAAACTACCGTTGATATTGCAATTTATCCAGCTAATTACTGCTGGAGTTTTCCTATGTAATTTACATAGAAAATGAACGAATTCACTAATTTTTTAGTTCATTACACGGAGTGTTGTGACAAGCAAAATCAAAATTACTCTATGATTTAATATGTGAACACAAATGTTAGTGAATGATATCTAAACAAGTAGGTAATTTGAACGTTAAATGTTGTTTATATTAAAAATATTTTGTTTTCACTTATATCTGGATTATATTTTAACTTAAGATTGACCAAATGATAAATTTTACTTCTAAAGATTGATCATGGATGAAATAGTATTTGGACTTTCTGTTATTGTACAGTGCTACCACCTGTGCTACAATTAAACTGTCCTTAGCCTACTTTAAAAGACGTGAGGATGTTTGTTGTGAAAGATGTTTTCCATCTGGTTTTAATGAATACCACATAATTCACTCGTATGTATTGCGTGACGCTATAAATGAAGTTGTTGTTTCATGGCAGAGCAAGCATTCTTCATTAGATCCATGTAGATTGTAGACCATAATATTAAGAAGTTTCAAATTGGAAGCAGTTTATGTATTAGAGATTGTGAATTTCGTTGTTGGCCTTTAAATCTGTCTTCGATGAGATACGATTAAATCTTTTTTTTTTAAATCATACTAGGAACATTTTCCATCACATGAGGAAATTATACATTAAAACTGGATAAGCAAGTGCCACAACCTTGAAACTTAACTCTTCAAACTGCGGTTGACATCATATGATGTTAGCGATTGCGGTTGACGTCATGTGATGCAAGCATTTTGCGCGCAACATTTTGAATGACCCGCTGCAAAAATTCGCGAAACTTTGCGCATGGTATGGTGTGGTAGGCAGATTTACACATGCCGCAAACGAAGAGTTAATAAAGTAAATAGGAACTTTAAACCTTCAGATATCCTTAAAAAGCGCGTATCAGTGTAATTATACAACCCGAAATGAAAATAACAGCAAAAACAAACCGAATATAATGCTTTATTTTTTAATTAGAGAGTTTACGTCATATCTTGGATAAAAATCATTTATGGTGAAAAATAAACTAAAAAAATTGGAAGCACTGGTTAGTGTTTATATAGCATAGGTAATTTCTTAGTTAGATCATAAGCAAGTGAGCGAACATCCTGTTGGAAAATTTTAATTGAAAGTTTGAATTAAGAAAGTAATTGCTACGATTCCGCGTTCGTTTAAAATATTAATTTCTATTCAGTGTTTTACATTACTAATGTGGTTTTACTATTAAATATTATGTTGACTTTGCCATTGAGTAAGTATTTTTTTTCGTACGAGATACATTATTACCGAATTTTTAAATATATATATATTATAGAAGGAAGTAATGTTTATTGTGAACATAATTCTTTTCATGACAGGTTTCTGACGTAGAGTCCTGACGGTGAAGAAACAGAGTACCAGAATACTCTTCCTCTACCCAGTTACAGATTATTGTGTGGTTGTTTCGATGAGAATATGGTGTTTGAAACTGGACAGAAAAATTGGCACATCTATAGTGGACAGAGACTATTTTCCTGAGTCATCTTATGCGTGTTTATGAAACAGTGTCGAAATACGGAAGTTATGTGGTCCGTCCTGATTCTGTTATTGGAAGTTTACCAAAAGGCCAAGATATGAAGTGGGAGAACAAAGTACCGGAACACTTCTGTAGAAAATATTTGCGTTTATCTAGGTTGGACATTTCTGTAATATCTATGTACCACTCAACGGTGAATAACCAGTTTTCGTCATTAGTCAAGATATTACTTACAAAATGTTTGATTCAGCCTTCGACATTGCTGGTTGTAGTGTTTTTTACCATTCTGGTTAGTACCACTGCTCGTCATTACGTTGCTCCAGAAGACTGTATTTGGAAAACACTGAATACTGGTGAAGATGAGGTGCGGTTAACGTGTAACGTAATGGCTCTTAAAAGTGGTAAACAAAGTACAAATTTTAGCTTAATCCAGAAAGATCATACTACGAGTTTACACCTTATCTGTGATCAAGTGCTTGTCGAAAGTCATTTAAGTAACAAAACATTCAGTAATCTGCAACACCTAAGATCTTTATACATAGCTCACTGTAAACTTCCTTTTTTACCCAGCCGAGTTTTCCATGGTTTACACCAACTGAAAAACTTAACTCTTCATAGCCATAATGATAAGTGGAGCTCATTTTCCTTAAAATTAGAACGTGAAAGTTTATCATCTCTAAAAAACCTCGAGGTTTTAAATTTAGGATTCAATAATATCGCTGAACTTCCAAGGTCTTTGTTTTGTGAGCTGTCCAATTTGAAAGAACTTAATCTTACGCATAATAGATTGCAAGATCTAACTGTTTTAGTGGAGCAGCAACCTAATAGTTGTGGTAAAGAGCTTACAAAGCTCGATATATCTTTTAATAATCTGCAGAAACTCGACAGGAACTCTTTTGCAACATTTACTAAGCTTATTGAGATGAATCTTCAAAAAAATCAGTTATCGCAGATCGAAGCCGATACGTTGAAAGAAGTCACAAATCTTCAGATTCTTGACTTGTCAAGCAATCAGTTGGCTAGCGTTCCTCCAAGTTTATTTCACAATGTTGGAGAACTGCGAGCCCTATACCTTCAGAACAACTCTCTTGGATTGTTGTCTTCTCAACAGTTCAGTGGTTTGCAGCAGATTTTGGTCTTGAATCTTAGCAGGAATGCCATATCCAGCGAATGGGTGACTCCGGAGACGTTAGCTGATCTTATCAGACTTGTTGTCCTTGATATGAGTCATAATCTCCTGGGATTTATTAATTCCTCAACTTTTCAGTCACAGTATAGTCTACAAATGCTTTTTCTGAGTCATAACAGAATTACAGAGATAACAGATAATGCCTTTGCTTCCTTATATAATCTACATACACTAGATCTCAGTTACAATTTGCTTAAATACATTGATGTTCACACGCTGAATGGCCTTTACGTTCTCAGTTTTTTGTCTTTAGAAATGAACCGCATAGATAGTATTCATTCAGAAGGAATGAAAAACTGTAGCAACCTTCAAGATTTGAAGTTAGGCGGAAATCGTCTAGATTCAACACCTAAAGCACTGACTATTTTACAATTTCTCAAAAGTCTTGATCTCTCAGATAATCTGTTGACTAGTTTAATGAACGCAACATTTGTAGGGTTAAAACAGCTAAATAAGCTTAGTCTTCAGAAGAATCAGGTTGGGAACCTTACCAGAGGGATTTTCCGAGATCTCCCATCGTTGACATATCTGGACCTTTCCAGTAACGTTATTCAACGGTTAGAGCATGGAATGTTAGAAGAAGCACCTAGGATAGAAGTCTTGCTTTTGAACGACAATCTTCTCACTGACATCAATGGTTTGTTCATGAATCTACACAGTCTTCGGTTCTTAAATGTTTCCCGAAATCAGATCAAGTGGTTCGATTATGCCCTAATACCTGCTGAACTAAGAACGTTTGACATTCATGACAATCAGGTGGATTTTCTAGGCAATTACTTTGAGTTGGAATCAGCTTTGAAACTAAAATACCTTGATGCTTCGTTCAATATCATTACAGAAGTTAATCCTGCTTCGTTTCCAAATAGCATTCGATATTTACGGCTTAACAGTAACAGAATAAAAGTGATTCATCCTTTTGTGTTCATGGGAAAAGAAAACCTAACTAATGTTGATCTGTCAAACAATTCTCTCCAGGTAGTGGACATAAACAGTTTTCGTTTGAATAGCTTTCCCTCAAATAAGACACTTCCTCAATTACGTGTGTCTGGTAACCCATTTTTCTGTGACTGTACCATGGAGTGGTTGCAGCGAATTAACAGCTTGCACAAGACAAGACAGTATCCACGGGTTGAAGACTTAGACAAAGTTATGTGCCAATTACCCTTCAAACGGCAGACCATTTCCATTAGTCTCTCCAAAACAACACCACAAGATTTCCTGTGTCAATATCAAAGCCATTGCTTTGCACTGTGTCATTGCTGTGAGTTTGATGCTTGTGACTGTGAAATGGTGTGTCCAGAAAACTGTACATGCTACTCAGACCAAACTTGGAATACGAATATCGTGGACTGCAGCTCTAGTAGCTATAATCGAATGCCACAGAGAATCCCAATGGATGTGACTGATCTTTATCTTGATGGCACAGACATGTCTCATCTCTCGAGTCACTCTTTTATTGGTCGAAAAAACATGAAAATTCTTTATCTTAACAACAGTAATATTCACGTAATTCATAACCGGACATTTAATGGGCTTTTAATACTTGAAATACTTCACTTGGAGCACAACCAGTTGAGTGCTCTTCAAGGCTTTGAATTCCAGAACCTTAGCATGTTGCGAGAGCTTCATTTGTCGCACAATCATGTTCGAACAATTCATAATGTAACATTCGTTCACCTTATACACTTGGAGTACTTATTCTTAGACAATAATTACATTACACATTTTCAGGTGTGGACACTTGAGCTTAATCCCAATCTCAAGGTCTTTTCCCTTGGTCATAACAGTTGGACATGTGACTGTGACTTTTTGGCTGCGTTTCAGGATTGGCTATTCTTACACAGAGAAAAGGTATATGATATTGCAAGTATCCGGTGTTATGAAAATACCACTGCAGGGCCCTTCATTTTAACATTCAACGTTTCTGCTTGTGGAAATTTAACAACTATAACGATTTTCCAAGCTGCCTTCACGGTACATGATTACATGCCTTTCATAATTGTGGGCTGTATTGTATTTCTATTTTTAGTGATAATAATGGTGTTACTGTGTATATACAGGCAGGAAATCAAAATCTGGTTCTATACCAAATATGGCATTCGACTGTTTCATAAGAATCATTACACGCCAGAAGCTGAGAAGCTTTTCGACGCCTTTGTATCCTACTGTAAAAAAGACGAAGCTTTTGTGGCACAAATACTGGCTCCAGAGCTCGAATGTGCAAGCCCACAGCAGAGATTATGTCTGCGTTACCGTGATCTTCCCATGGTCGGATATGTGGCAGAAGCTATCACGGAAGCCATCGAGTGCAGTCACAGAACTGTGGTTGTGCTCTCGGAGCAATTCCTCAAAAATGAATGGTGTCGTTTTGAACTGAAGTCTGCTCAGCACGAAGCTAGGTGTAATCGACACCATCGCCTGGTGGTTGTGCTTCTAGACAACACTTCGTTCAAGCACATGGACGCTGATACGCGCTCGTGTCTAAGGTCAGCAGTAGTTGTTCGTTGGGGAGAGAAGAGGTTTTGGGAAAAACTGAGGTATTCTCTTCCGGATGGACGAGGTAGTAGCAAACACATCACGTGCCCGGAAACTCAACTAGAGGAGCGTGGCTTGCCCGGAAATTCTGTAAAACTGGTTTAACTGGTTTTGTGTTTTCAGTATTTTGCGAAGATTCAGAACTGGAACGCATCTGATGTTTGCATATGTGATAGACAAGATTTACTAAGTTCAATAAATGATCATCTGTGAAGACTTAAGAAATATAACTTTCGTGATAAATTAATTTCATACTTTAGAACATCACTGAAGAGATGAAATTAGCACGAATCACTCGATATCGAGTAAATGTTCATATATTGTAGTTATTGATATTAGTAACTCGTTTATGCAATCTTATTGAAAGGCTAGTAGGTGATCACAGATCGAAAAACGGGGTAACTCGAAAACATCAGGTAGTTAATTTGATTTGTCATAAAAAGAAATATTTATTTAGTAGCAATTTGACGGTGTAGTTCTGTACTGCTTTCTTCAGAATACCCCAATACTAAAAATCTGATACTGTTTTTTATGTAAAACAAGTGATATTATAAATAAAATAATTAACTTTAGTATACATTTTGCTTTTATCAAATTTACATTTTTGCGTATTATATGCATCTCCCAGATGAAGCCATAGTAATCAACACAAACTCTGCCTCTTTCTACCTTGTGAATTATCAAAGATGATGTAGTTTTAACTTAGTTACTTCTTTCTGAAAATACACTATATTCTTGTTTACGTCTAAGAATGATTTATTTTGTATGCACAGAAAGTATGGTTACTTAACAATATATGTTATGTTCGTTGAAATTAAGGGGCTGTGAAGCTGTAGAAAACAGTACAAGACCTACTTTTTGTATAACACGTCTTATGTGAATACAGTTGACCAACACACCTTGCTTTAGCTGACCACTGTCCAATTCTATGACTTGTAATTATTTGGTGAATAAATGTTCTACCTAGTGAATTGTGTTAAACGTTTTTCTATTGGGTTTTACAGTGATGTTACATAATAATATATTTTCATTTGATACAGGCAAGATTATATAAAAATAAAACTTAACATGATGCACTTTTTTTTCTTTATTTTTGGTAATTAATGTGTTGCATTATACAGACTTACCTTTTAAGCTGGATTTATAGGGGTAAATTAGTTACTTTTGTGAGTACTCAAACAGAATTTCGTTTAATCCCTGACATAACACATCACAATATGTGTATTTTTTTTTGTTTAACAACAAAACTCACTGTTGTATGTCAGTATCACCTTTCTATAAAATGTGTTTCTGTCAGCCGTGTCTGTTATTAAACGCAAAGCTACACAAAGGACTATATGTGTCCTTCCTGCCGCGGGTATCGAAACCTGAATTTTAGCTTTGTAAGCTGTGAGACTGGTTAAATGCCCAACCCTGAATAATACCATATTTTTGTTATATTTATATTGTTGTAATCTTCAGGTTAGAATGTGAACTGACGATCGAATTTCGGGAATTCCAAAACTACACTTTTATGTAAGTTATATATTTTTTATTTTATTTAATTTTGAGCTATAGAATCACTTTCTTAAAACTTGTGTAACCGTAGAAAATGAAAATCTAAGGGAAATCTTATTTGATATGTGTAAATGCGATTTTTATTTATATCAAGATACAGATTTATGTTTTTTTTACAAAGGTTAAGTCGTTGATGTGCAAATTTTTGCCCATTTTCATTCGCTTCTGATTAATAGTAAGCGGTAGAACTCTAAAATATTTGTTACCACTTGTTAACTTGGAAAATTTCACTCGAGAAATAAGATAATTATATATAAATCGTCTGAGATAAACATAAAGTAGGTGCAGGATAAAATTAGGAATCTTGGTTTAAGTAAGATGATTTACCTTTTGTTTTATGCAATGGGTAATTTCGAAGTATTTTGTGGTCTAGTCGTTATTGAACAATGTGTTTATCTATATAATATTATGTATATACTTAAGGAGTGAGTTTGTTAAAAGTAAATATGGAATTATTTGCATATTCAAAATAGTTTTAATATAATGTACTCAGCTCTCTGTATTTATCCAATTAGTAGTATTAATGGAATCGTTTTGGTCTGGCACAAAACTGAATTTAAAAGAATAGCTTAAAAAATCGAGGTATTTATCGACTGTATTATAAATAGTTTAAGAATAGTTTTGAACATTCACTGTTTAACGAGGTGTTTATAATAAGATGCCTTTGGAGCAGCGACTATTGACAAGAAGAATGAGATATTTGAAATGCTGTTTTCTTTATGCATATGTAACATCAGTAGTTATTAACTGATCAAAAAAAAACATCCGTTCCATCCTATTTTTACGACGTGAAAGATCGGTTTTGAACGACAACGTATATATGTGTACAATAAGAATAGTTTCTTATCCAAATAATTACGAAGATTTAACTAAATTAAACTATTAAAATACATACTAACACATGAAGTATTAAGTAAAACGCACCAATACGGTTGAATCTAAGTGGATTTGTTGTTTGAAGTAACTGCTTTAGGAGGCAGTTCAGTATTTTTAGTTTTTTTTAAAAGATACGGCTAACAAACAATGCATTACGAATATATATTCCTCTCTATCGAAAGTGCTTAGTTCTAGTTTATAGTTTCCAAAATAATTATATTCTGGAATTTAGCTTTGATTTTACAATTCTTTTGTTCTGATGAAAGTTCGTCACTGCATTAATGTTTCACCATTTTTCAATAGACTACTGACCACAAGTTTTCTATTTTTTAACAAATACCGGTCAATTAGTGGTCTGCATGCCGCTCCAGCTGTTACGTTTTTTATATATATTTTCCACAATTTATTCTCTACTGTGTTCGTTGAAAATAGTAAGGACTACAGTTTTTAAAACTTTATGTAGTCTAATATCAAATATATAGAATGCAGATTCTTTCTGTGTGGTCCCAGTAGTACAGATGTTTTAAAGGATTGAGGCTATGACAGCTGGGAAAATGAAGCACAGATAACAGCTGGATGAACAAACACAAACCACCATCTAATTTGGATTTGAACTATAGTGCATTAAAATCTGAATATACAAAATGTATAGTTGAAATTGCTTTAAGAAGGTAATAAGTGATCAGTATTTCAACCAAACGACCTTTGTTGGAACCTCATCCGTGAATATCGATTGGTCAAACTTTGACCACTTAATTCTGTTTTCAGATATTTCAACCGTTTAAATATATTTTCGGATTTCTTTGTAATTTAAATGTCAATAGCAGAGAAAATATATCGAGTCAAATATAGCATTACAATTGTCTCTGGATGTGAGAACTGTATAATAATGACAATTGAAACGAAGCGATGGTAAGTTTAACAACTGTTATGGTGTGAACTGTTTCGCTGATTATAGGTGATTATACTTTATTACATTCCTCATAAAAATAATTTAGTGTTAAAAATACAGTAAGTCTAATACACTGGATTATTGTACTATGACACATATAATTGTTTATAATATGTAGTTACTAAATTGTTGTTTCTGTCTGTGACTTGATGATCAATAAAAACTGAAACATTTATGATGTAACATTAAATTACAATGGAAGTTTCTACACTGTATACTAACGTATCATTGATGTCACCAGTTGAAGTTTGAAGAAGATAAATAAAAGATTGTGAATTTAAAACCCTGCAAATAGGGATCATAAAAAGTAAGCAAACGAGGCTGAAAATACGGTATTCGACTCCAAATGTAATTCTAGGTAACAGCATGGAACCAAAATAGGGGTTTGTATTTTGAGTAAATAATGTCTACCGTATCTTCAGCCTTGTTTGCTTACTTTTTACGATCCCTATTTGTAGGTTTTGAACAAAAAATTCCTGTTTTTAATTATCGTGTTTGTTGGCTTTTTTATGCTCAACTATGAACAAATGAGTACTTGATATAGTGTAATGATAATAAACATAACTAGTAGCTAGCTTATACGGTTCATGATGATTTACTGTGGCTATTGATTATTCGATTGCATTAGTTTGAGATGTAAAATGTTAAGCTACAGCTGGAGATTGTCATGGAGATTTGTTTGAGAATATAGTGATTATTTACATATGCTGTGCAATTAAATTCTCTATATATAATGGGCAAAAAATATGCCTTGACTAAAACACAACTCCCACTAATCGCATATAAAATTTTACCAGTAGAAAAGCAGCCTTTTCAAGTATAACACACACATCTAAAACATCGCTTTAATTAAATTTTCGTGTCTTTTAAAGTAATTATCCTACGAATGTGTGTAATAAAATTTAATATTATGTGTATTTATTTTTTTGTAGTCCACTTCATATACAGTATAGGGTTGGTTCCTTAAAAACACAGATTGTTTAGTATACAAATCATTGAGTATCTACATGTTACAGTCACTAATGTTCATCTGTTATTGGCTGGTAATTCCTGTTTCACCCTGTACTTAAGTTATTTAAAGGAACACCAAATATTTGTAAGAAAGCTAAATTCAAGGGGTAATGATAACATCGTTTACACTAAATTTATGATGTTTTTAGCTTATGTAAAACATAGAAGAAGCAAATTCACTTTTCAAAACCCTTTCGGTTTGGGTGCAACAAACCAAGCCGTTTTTATTGAGGACTGGCAAAATAATAATAATGATTATAATAAGAAGAATTACAAACTGTCCATTTTGACGAATTCTATTCTCAATGTAAGTCTAACGCGTGTGCTTTTTTTCAGCATCTTTATATGTATACAGCCTTAGCAGTAAATAGTAAAGGTTTTACAGTGTTGTTCGAACTGAATCTTAACTGTTTAAGGTGCTTTTCCCCGAACGTTGTATTAGTGTTTTGTACAATTCCTTGCGATCCCTATTATGAATAACCATCGTGGTCCATGATAGTGTATACTAACGAAACAGTGACTTTAACAGTATATACTAATGAAATACTGGCGATGCCAGATAAAGTTTCTACAGGGTATACTAACGAAACATTGATGTTCGCCAGTTGAAGTTTTTACAGCGTATAATAACGGAACACTCGTGTCTCCAGTTAAAGTTTCTACAGCATATACTAACGGAACACTGATGTCACCAGTTGAAGTTTCTACAGTGTCTAATAACGGAACACTGATGTCGCCAGTTGAAGTTTCTACAGCGTTTACTAACGGAACGTTGATGTCGTCAGTTGAAGTTTCTACAGCGTATAATAATGGAACACTGATGTCACCAGTTGAAGTTTCTACAGCGTATAATAACGGAACATTTATGTTACCAGTTGAAGATTCTACAGCGTGTACTACCGGAACATTGAAGTCGCTAGTTGAAGTTTCTAATAGCGTATAATAACGGAACACTGATGTCATCAGTTGAAGTTCCTACAGGGTGTACTAACGGAACATTGATTTCGCCAGTTGAAGTTTCAACAGCGTATAATAACTGAACATTTATGTTACCAGGTTAAGTTTCTTCAGCGTATAATAACGGAATACTGAGGTCGCGAACTGAAGTTTCTACAGCGTATACTAACATAACATTAAAGTCGCCAGTTGAAGATTATACAGCGTATAATAACGGAACACTGATGTCTCAAGTTGAAATTTTTACAGCGTATAATAACGGAAAACTGATGTCTCAAGTTGAAGTTTATACAGCGTATAATAACGGAACACTGCTGTCACCAGTTGAAGTTTCTACAGCATATACTAACGGAACACTGAAGACGCCAGTTGAAGTTTCTACAGCGTATAATAACGGAACACTGATGTAACTAGTTGAAGTTTCTACAGCATATACTAACGGAACATTGAAGTCGCCAGTTGAAGTTTCTACAGCGTATAATAACGGAACACTAATGTCACCAGTTGAAGTTTCTACAGCGTATACTAACGGAACATTGAAGTCGCCAGTTGAAGTTTCTACAGCGTATAATAACGGAACACTAATGTCACCAGTCGAAGTTTCTACAGCGTATAATA